AAACTTAACCAAAGAGGTGAAAGATCTGTACACTAAAAACTATAAAACATTGTTGAAAGAAATTGAAGAAGACACAAAGAAATGGAAAGATATTCCGTGTTCTTGGATTGAAAGAATTAACATAGTTAAGATGTCCATACTTCCTAAAGCAATCTACAGATTCAGTGTAATCCCTATCAAAGTTCCAACAACATTTTTCACAGAAATAGAACAAAGAATCCTAAAATTTATATAGAACAAAAGACCTCAAATAGCCAAAAGAATCCTGAGAAAAAAGAACAAAGCTGGAGTGTCAGTGAATCACACTCCCTGATTTCAAAATACACTACAAAGCTATAGTAACCAAAACAGCATGGTACTGGCACAATGACACACACACAGATCAATGGAAAAGAATCGAGAGCCCAGAAATAAACTCACACATCTATGGACAGCTAATCTTTGAGAAAAGGAGCCACCAAGAACATACAATGGAGAAAGGAAAGTCTCTTCAACAAATGGTGCTGGGCAAACTGGACAGCCACATGCAAAAGAATGAAAGTAGAACATTATCTTACACCATACACAAAAATTAACTCAAAGTGGATAAAAGACTTGAATGTAAGACCTGAAGCCATAAAACTTCTAGAAGAAAACATAGGAAGCATGCTCTTCGACATCGGTCTTAGCAACATATTTTTAAGTACCATGCCTGATGGGGCAAGGGAAACAACAGAAAAAATAAACAAATGGGACTACATCAAACTAAAAAGCTTCTGCACAGCAAAGGAAATCATCAACAAAACGAAAAGACAACCTAACAATTGGGAGAAGATATTTGCAAACCATATATCTGATAAGGGGTTAATCTCCAAAATATATATATAGCTATAAGGGGACAGTCCATGTATTTCAGATACTATGGCCATTAACACAGAAAACCTTTCTGTCCAGTGAAATTGCATTAAATTTAAAAAGGGGTATGTCTAGGTCTCCCATGGCCCTCTTACTACACAACAGGGTCATCTGTTACCTGGTTCAGATTTTCTTCAATAGGATTTAGCTAGCCCTTTCCACCCACAGATGCACTCACCACTATCTTTCTCCCATTTCTTATCTAAGAATACAGCTAATACTAAGACCCACTACTTTAATGGGCCAGGCACATTACATACATTGCCATTCAACGTTTACAACCTTGTGAGATAATATTTCCACTTTATAAACTCGGAGAAAGCCGAGTTTAAATCCATTCAAATATCAAATGGCAAAGCCATGACTTCAACTTGTGTTTGTCACTCCAAACCTCACACCACAATTCATTTTTAAAGTGTTCCCCAACCCAATTAAAGAAAATTAACTCACCATCCATTAATACTCTCCCATTTCTAGATTAAGAACACTAAGATTCTGACTGGCCATTTCTTACCATCCCTAGTCAAGCCACCATCATCTCTCCTCTGGGTTACTGCAAAAGCCTCCTGTCTTTCTTCCCCCGTCCCCGTCAGTCCTTTCTCCACAGCAGCCAGAGGGATCCTTTTAAAAAGGAAGTCAGATTACCTCATTTCACTGCTCAAAACCCTCCAACGGCTTAGATGCCCTCAAGATCCTTCATCGCCTGTTCCTGCTCTCTCTCCTTTTGTCTCCGGCTTTAACCCCTTCACTCAACTCTGACCCACAGGCTTCCTCACTGTTCAGGAGGGTTTCTGCTTCACGGCCTTTGCAACGGCTGGTCCCTCTGCCTAACTGCACTTCCCCAAGATATCTGCATGGTTAATCCTCACCGTCAGCTCCTTACTCGGAAGTCACCTTTTCAGTGAGACCTTCCCTGGCCACACTGAAATTTCAACCTACATCCGCCTCCCCTGCTGTATTATTTCTCTCTTCAGCACTCATTACGACCTAAAATACGGTATGTTTTTCTTAATTGTAGTTAGTATGCGTCTTCCTCAATAAAATACGAACTACAGGGAAATGGGAATTTTGTCGTTATTGCTCTTTACCTAATGCCGAAAAGTGTCCGGAACATGGTGGGCGCGGAGCAACTACTTGCGGAATGAATGAATTCCTTCTCCCCACCCCAGTCCTTTCACACACACACACACGCAAAAGTAAACACGTTTGTGACTGTCTTTTCCTGCAGCATCCTTTCCCTCGGCCCCTTCTAAAGGCCGCAGGCTCTTCCCCACTTCCTCATGCCACGACTGGCGCTGGTGTGAGCGACTTCCCGCCGGCACGCGCCGGCCAGGTGCTGTCTCCCGCAGGCGAGGAAGGGAAAGGGGCTCCTCGATCGCAGCCCGCCCACCCCGGAACCCTCTGCGGACACACTCACATTGACGGGCGGCCAGCGACGCCGGGCAGCCTCCGTCCAGAGCAGGCAGGGACGGCGCCCGCACACGAGGGCGGTGAGAAAGGACCCCACGAGGTAACCCCGCTAAACGCCTGAGCGCTCCACAGATTCGACTCCAAATTCTGTCGCCCCCTCCTGTGCGCAGCCACACCCCGCTGCCGGTCTTACTCGGCCAATAAAGGCAACCCCCTGTCTCTCCTCCTCGGTCGCTACATTTTGTAGCCGGAGGGGGCAAGGGGCAAGACGCAGGACGTCGGGGTCTTTCCTCAGTTTGCGTCGCGGGCTGTGAGGTCAGAGGAAAGGGCCCGGCTGAGTTGAGGGGGTGGGGGATGGCGCTGTCAGCGGAGCGGGCCGCGCTGGCGTAGCCGCTCGGTTCCGAGCTGGGAAGGTGGCGGCCTTAGCTCGCAGGCAAAGGGCAGCTCTGAGCCCCCGGCGCTCCAGGAGCCGCGCCTTTGTAGAAGCGCCTGCCGGGCGGGCCGGGCGCGCTGAGCAGCAGCGGCAGCGCCGGCCTCAGCGCCGGCCCCTGGTCTTGGCGGCCGCTGCGTCCCCCGACGCAGAGGCAGGTACTCGGGCTCCGGGTTGTCGGCATCGTAGTGGGTGGCGCTGGTGGGAGGCAGAGGCTTGTCCGCAGTAAGAGGGGAGCCGGCCGTGGGGCTGCCTGCTGCGGAGGGCCGTCCCCGTCCCCGCCTCCGCCCGCCTCCCCTGGGGAGCCCTCGGGACTGTGGGCGGCTCTGTGGAGGGCACCACTGCGTCACCCCTCAAGGGAGGCTTGACGAGGAGGTTAGGGGATGTGGCTTCGGCTCTCTGTGACTCACCGGACACGCGAACTCGCGCTTTGGTTCCTTTCTGGTCTTCAAGGGTTTAGTCAAGCGTTGAGAGCTAACATTCCCTTGTGGAGTGGGGGAAAGGGAACAAGTGGAAGGACGTTCCTTTAGAATTGTCAGTGGCTGCTCTTCAAGGCCTCTTGTTCCTGTTTTTATTTGGGACAGAGACAACTTTTTGAGGGCAAGTGTGCAAAATGAACTAGTATTCGCCTGCTGACGAAATGTGTAAGCTGTTTTATTCATGATGAAATCTGCGGTTTTTTTGCCCTATTTTTGACCTTCTTTTCTTATTTAAGTCATTTCGACTTCAAGTTCTTTGAGGGCAGACGTTGTGTCTTGTTCGCTGTCGTTGACCTGGCAGCTGGAAAAACATCTGACTTAAAATAGGAACTTCAAGATATTTGTTGAATGAATGCATTTTCAAACCCAATTGCTTACTTACATTGTTGGTTTTCCTCAACTCGTGTCACCTCAGCTGTCTTTCTCATTGGCTTTCTCCCACTCACCAAGTGTGAGCACGTCTGTGTGTGTGTATTTTTTGTGTGAGCCTTTTTATGTGCACCCATCTCAGACAGTTGAAGCAGAACACTGTTGAAATGTTTTATGCTGACTAATGTTTTATTTTTTTGATCATTTGCATTTCCTTTTTTTGGTTACTTGATTTTTAGCTGTCTAAGTGATAGAAGCATCTAGTTAAAAATTAAGTAGTATAGTATAGAGGGATTGCATAATAAAATGCAGCAGTTCAGTGTCTCCCCTCCCGCCCTCAGTCCTGTTCTTCACAGATAAGCACTGTTAACTTCTTCTGATTTTAAGTTGTATGTTGAATAAGTTAAACTGCTAATTCTGGTGTGGTTTTTTTGTGTGTGAAATTTTTGTTGTACATTATTGTTTATCAATCACCATGTAAGTGCATCCCTGCACCCCTTGTGCCCACCCCCCACTGCCCTAGCCCCTGGTAACCACCAAACAGTTCTATCCATCCGTCCATGTGTTGGTTTATATTCCACATATGAGTGAGATCATAACAGTGTTTGTCTTTCTCTTTCTGGCTTATTTCACTTAACTTAATACCCTCCAGGCCCATCCTTGTTGTTGCAAATGGGACGATTTTGTGTTTATGGCTGAGTAGTATTCCATGGTATATATATACCACATATTCTTGATCCAATCATCAGACGAGGACACTTGGGTTGCTTCTACTTCTTGGCTATAGTGAACAATGCTGCAATGAACATAGGGGTGCATAAGCCTCTCTGGATTGTTGATTTCAGGTTTGTTGGATAGATACCCAGTAGTGGGATAGCTGGATCATAAGGTATTTCTATTTTCAATTTTTTGAGGAATCTCCATACTGTTTTCCATAGAGGCTGCACCAGTTTGCATTCCCACCAGCAGGTGATTAGGGTTCCCATTTCTCCACAACCTCTCCAGCATTTATTGTTTTTTGTCTTGGTGATTATAGCCGCTCTAACGGGTGTAAGATGATATCTTAGTGTGGTTTTGATTTGCATTGCCCTGATGATTAGTGATGTTGAGCATCTTTTCATGTGCCTGTTGGCCATCTGTATATCTTCTTTGGAGAAGTGTCTGTTCATTTCCTCTGCCCATTTTTCGATCGGGTTGTTTGTTTTTTTGTTATTCAGTTGTGTGAGTTCTTTATATATTATGGAGATTAATCCCTTGTCAGATATACGGTTTGCAAAGATTTTTCCCAACTGGTGGGTTCCCTGTTCATTTTGATCCTGGTTTCATTTGCCTTGTAGAGGCTCTTTAATCCATGAAGTCCCACTTGTTTATTTTTTCTTTTGTTTTCCTTGTCTGAGGAGACATGGAATTCATAAGATCCCTTTATGGCTGATGGCGAGTAGTGTACTATCTATATTTTCCTCCAGGAGTTTTATAGTTTCAGGTCTCACCTTCAGGTCTTTGATCCATTTTGAGTTAATTTTTGTGTGTGGTGAAAGAAGGTGGTCTACTTTCATTCTTTTGCAAGTGGCTGTCCAGTTTTCCCAGCACCATTTATTGAAGAAACTTTCCTTTCTCCGTTCTATATTCTTAGCTCCTTTGTTGAAGATTAGCTGCCCATAGATATGAGGTTTTATTTCAGGACTGTCAATTCTGTTCCATTGATCTGTGTGTCTGTTTTTGTACCAGTACCACGCTGTTTTAATTACTGTCGCTTTGTAGTATGTTTTGAAGTCAGGGATTGTGATGCCTCCAGCCTTGTTCTTCTTTCTCAGGATTGCTTTAACTATACGGGTTCTTTTGTTGCCCCATCTGAATGCTAGTATTCTTTGTTCTATTTCTGTGACGAATGTCCTTGGGATTCTGATTGGGATTGCATTGAATCTGTAGATTGCTTTAGGTAGTATGGACATTTTAACTGTGTTTATTCTTCCAACCCAAGTGCGTGGAATATTTTTCCATTTCTTTATGTCATCATTGATTTCACTCAGTAATGTCTTATAGTTTTCATTGTATAAGTCTTTCACTTCCTTTGTTAAATTTACTCCTAGATATTTTATTCTTTTTGTTGCAATTGTAAATGGGATTGTCTCCTTGAGTTCTCTTTCTGTTAGTTCGTTGTTGGTATATAGAAATGCAACTGATTTCTCTAAGTTGATTTTGTACCCTGCCACCTGGCTGTAGTTGTTGATTATCTCTAATAGTTTTCCAATGGATTCTTTAGGGTTTTCTATATAAGATCATGTCATCTGCCAACAGCGAGAGTTTCACTTCTTCTTTGCCTATTTGGATTCCTTTTATTCCTTTTTCTTGCCTAATTGCTCTGGCCAGAACCTCCAGTACTGTGTTGAACAGGAGTGGTGAGAGTGGGCACCCTTGTCTTGTCCCTGTTTTCAGAGGGATGGCTTTCAGTTTTTCCCCGTTGAGTATGATGTTGGCTGTGGATTTGTCATATATGACCTTTATTACGTTAAGGTACTTTCCTTCTATACCCATTTTGTTGAGAGTTTTTATCATAAATGGATGCTGGATCTTGTCAAAAGCCTTCTCTGCATCTATTGAGATGATCATATGGTTTTTATGCCTCGTTTTGTTAATGTGGTGTATCACATTGATTGATTTGTGGATGTTGAACCATCCCTGCATCCCTGGTATAAATCCCACTTGATCATGGTGTATGATCTTTTTAATGTATTGCTGTACTCGGTTTGCCAATATTTTGTTGAGAATTTTTGCATCTATGTTCATCAGGGATGTTGGTCTATAGTTTTCCTTCTTAGTATTGTCTTTGCCTGGTTTTGGTATCAGGGTGATGTTGGCCTCATGGTATGTATTGGGAAGTGTTCATCTTCCAATTTTTGGAATAGTTTGAGAAGGATAGGTATTAAGTCTTCTTTGAATGTTTGGTAAAATTCTCCAGAAAAGCCATCTGGTCCTGGACTTTTATTTTTTGGGAGGTTTTTGATTACTGTTTCAATCTCTTTACTTGTGATTGGTCTATCCAGGTTCTCTATTTCTTCTTGATTCAGTTTGGGGAGGTAGTATGAGTCTGAGAATTTATGCATTCCTTCTAGATTGTCCAATTTGTTGGAATATAGTTTTTCATAGTATTCTCTTATAATCTTTTGTATTTCTGTGGTATCTGTTGTAATTTCTCCTTTTTCATTTCTAATTTTATTTATTTGAGCCTTCTCTCTTTTTTTCTTGGTGAGTCTGGCTAAGGGTTTGTCAATTTTGTTTATCTTCTCAAAGAACCAGCTCTTTGTTTCATTGATCCTTTCTACTATTTTTTTTAATTTCAATTTCATTTATTTCTGCTCTGATTTTTATTATTTCTCCTTCTACTGACTTTAGACTTTGTTTGTTCTTCTTTTTTTAATTCTGTTAGGAGTAGTTTGAGGTTGCTTATTTGGGCTTTTCCTTGTTTGTCAAGGTGAGCCTGTATTGCTATGAGTTTCCCTCTCAGGACTACTTTTGCTGCATCCCATATGAGTTGGTATGGTGTATTTTCATCTTCATTTGTCTCCAGATATGCTTTGATTTATCCTTTAATTTCATCAATGATCCATTGGTTGTTTAGTAGCATGTTTTTGAGCCTCCACAGCTTTGTCACTTTCCTGGTTTATTCCTTGTAGTTGATTTCTAACTTCATGGCATTATGGTCTGTAAAGATGCTTGTTATGCTTTCAATCTTCTTAAATTTGTATAAGCATGCCTTGTTTCCCAGCATATGGTCT